TCACACAATCTTTCACACACCTCGGGAACCTACACAACCCCTCACACACATCAGGACACACACAACCTCTCACACACCTCAGGACACACACAACCTCTCATATATCTCAGAACACACACAACCCCTCACACACCTCAGGGACTCACACAACCTCTCACGCACTTCAGAAACCTACACAACCCCTCACACACATCAGGACACACACAACCTCTCACACACCTCAGGACACACACAACCTCTCACATACCTCAGGAACCCACACAACCCCTCACACACCTCAGGGACTCACACAACTTCTCACACACCTCAGGACTCACACAACCTCTCACGCACTTCAGAAACCTACACAACCTCTCACACACTTCAGGACACACACAACCCCTCACGCACCTCAGGGACTCACACAACCTCTCACATACCTCAGGACACACACAACCCCTCACACACCTCAGGGACTCACATAAACCGTCACATGCCTCAGGAACCTACACAGACTCTCACAAACCTCAGGAACCAATACAACCTCTCACACCCTTCAGGACATACACACAACATCTCACACACCTCAGGGACGCACACAACCCCTCATACACCTCAGGGACTCACACAACTTCTCACACACCTCAGGAACCTACGCAAACTCTCACACACCTCAGGACACACACACAACCTCTTACACGCCTCAGGACAAACACACACCCACTCACACACCTCAGGACCCAAGCACAACCCCTCACACACCTGAGGCTCATACACATAATCCCTCACACACCTCAGGAACCCACGCACAACCCCTCACACACCTCAGCGTCTCACACACAGACCCTCACACACCTCAGGACCCACACAATTCATCACACTTCTCAGGACACACACACAACCCCTCACACACCTCAGGACCCACGCACAACCCTCTCACACACCTCAGGACTCACACAACCTCTCACACACCTCAGGGACCCACACACAACACTCGCACACCTCAGGACACACACACACTCCCACAGTTAGAATGACGCACAGGGACAAAAGCGCCTTCTGGTTCCTCTTTGTAGTATTTTCTTCATTCATTCACGATGTCGGCATTTACCGCCTATTGCACGCGAGTCGCTTGCAGAACTATCCGAGTGACACACGTCCCAAGCAGGCTCAGGTGAGCCCCAGGTGTGTGTTTTCCACACGCAGCACCATGGATGAGAAGGATGGCCAGGGTTTAACAGGAACATCGACTCTCGCTTGCTCCTCATTCTCTTCTCTACCACAAAAATCACACGAACAATTCAGATGGAGATGCATTCAGTGAAACGATGAAACTTTGAATCCTGTCTCCTATTTAAACTCACATATATTATTTTCCCCTCATAAAAAATGTTTTTTTCTAGTAAATAATTTGATATCCAAAGAAAATTTGTATTTCTTCAAAAATGTATGCTCAGAGAAATGAGCTCTTACTACACGTTGGGTGTTGAAGACTTGATATTAAACACATGATTTTTGTCAATTGGGAGGAGCAGTTTGACTCTCTCCAATGTCCTTTGTGGATGGATGGACTCTACTGACGATGAGCTTCTGTATTAGAATTGCAGGTTCGGGGATGTTTAATTATTATCTGAGCTGGTACAATGGTGACGCTGAGTGAGACGTTCATGTCCCTTTAAGACAGAAAGTCCGTTGGAACTGTCTGCTGCTCACTGGTCTCTGGATATGAGGCAGGAGGGCTTGAGGACAGCTGTTGGGACACGGCCCAGATGACCTGGTCCCAGCAGAACTGACCGTCAGGGAACAGGTGAGGTGACGAGGTCTGGTAGTAGGGCTGAGGAAAGGGGTCTTCCCTGGACGGAGGGGGTCATGAGTTCGGGGCCGAGGACACTGCGGTATCCCCTCAGAGGAGTGGGAAAGAAGGAGCTTTCTCAGGGCTGTGAGGACCGTGACCCCAGCCCACTTCCGCAGACACATTCCCAGTCCCGGCCGGGAAGGAACGGCAGTGGTCCGGTTACTGGTAGGTCTTGTTCTAGACCTTCCATTCGCTTCCATCAGGACACTCTATTTTATAAACAACATTTCTCCGATCACTGTGGTTAAACTGTTCCTTCTTATGTTTGTATACAGTTAGAAGTTTATGAAAACACAGTCAGGGTTTTGCTGGGGGCCACGGGCTTCCTAAAACCGAGAGGGCGAGGCAGAGGTGGAGGCAGCTTTCAGAGATGACCCTGCAGGCTTGCAGCAAAGCTTTGCGTTTTCTCTTTTGTTTTTGTTTTCCAATTGCTGTGAGCTTCCTAGAACTGGTATAAATGCTCTACCTATAAAAAGGTGTTTCCTTTCCACGTCTTCACCATGAATTCACAAATGTCGCCCTGACGGTTCAAGACTCATACTCAGCACAGTGGAGGGTCTGCCTGTGCCCCTCCAGGTGGGTGCTGATCCCGTGGTACTGATTAAAGGGCTGAGAATTCCCTCAGTGTCGCATGCGACCATCCACTCACACCCACTCACACCCTGAGACCATCCCGCTCACACCCGCTCACACCCCGAGACCATCCCGCTCACACCCGCTCACACCCGCTCACACCCCGAGACCATCCCGCTCACACCCGCTCACACCTGTCTCTTATACACATCTAGATGTGTATAAGAGACAGGGATATACACAACCCTCACACACCTCAGAACACACAATCCTCACACACCTCAGGATATACACAACACTCACACACCTCAGAACACACACACAACACTCACACACCTCAGGACACACACACAACACTCACACACCTCAGGACACACACACAACACTCACACACCTCAGGATACATACAACCCTCACACACCTCAGGATATACACAACACTCACACACCTCAGGACACACACAACCTCTCACACACCTCAGGACACACACAACCCTCACACACCTCAGGACACACACAACACTCACACTCCTCAGGACACACACAACCCTCACACACCTCAGAACACACACACAACACTCACAC